TAGGTGTTGTTTGTTCCCCACGTTTCGGGTTTTGGGCTTGCACATAGAGAGAGAGAGGTAGATCGTTCAATGGTTATAGATAGATCAATAGTAGGTAGTGATAGATAGATCGATAAATAGATAGCTAGCTAGGTCTGTGATTTTTTGTTCACAGTTGGAGCCACAAAATGAAGTGTGTCATCCTGTTATTTCCGGGTGGCTTGCTTTCCTCGGTCGTCGATACTCCAGCAGTTGCGAAGCTTGCATCCCATGGCATTGCGACTCCAATAGAAGTCGATGTCGACAAAGCAATACACAGGCATGTCCAACCCGTCTCGGATAGCCTTGCGTGCAGCTTTCCTGTCGGGACCCGACCCATCGTGGCTCGTGGAAGCCACTGTGCCCCGAATGGTCGAGCTCGGCTCCTTGGCATCGTTCTTCTTGGACCTTTTCGGTTCTGATCCCGATGCCCTCTTGGGCTTGGGGACCTCGGCTTCGGCTGCGGCTTCTGGCGCACTCTCCTTTGCAAGCTTGGCCCTCTTGGCTTCGGTCGCCACAGCATTGTCCTTTGCTGCCTTGGTCCTCTTGGCGGGCCGGGCTTCGGCCGCCACAGCGCCTTCTGGTTCGTTGTCCTTTGCAGCCTTGGTCCTCTTGGAGGGCCGGGCTTGGGCGGCGACAGCGGCTTCCGGTCCGTTGTCCTTTGCAGCCTTGGTTTCCCCGTTGTCCTTTGCAGCCTTGGTTTTCCTGGCTTTGGCGGGCTGGGCTTCGGTCGAGACAGCAGCTTGCTTCTTGGCAGCCTTGGAACTCGAGGGTTTGGTCTTGGGGGGCTTAGCTTCGGTCGCCTCGGCTTCCGATCCATTCTCCTCTGCATGCTGGGTCCCGTTTGCCTTGGCGGGCTGGGCAGCCTTGGGCTTCTTGCTGTTGGAGGGGGGCACGGGTTGTTCCTCCTCTTGCTCACCCGTGTTTTCGGTCGACTTTTGGCCACGTCCTCTTCCACCCCTTCCCCTGCCCCCCCTTCCACGACCGCCCCGGCCGTGGCCCGGTTTCTCATCCTCCTTGGCTTTGGCTACTGCCATCATGGCATCCTGCTTTTCCTTTGACAGAACTTCCTCGGCGGCTGCCTTTAGGGATGGTATGTTTGTAGCACAGATCCATGCACACACAGACCACGACTCTCAAATCTGAGTACATGCTTTGAATAGATACTAGAAAGTGTCCATGTTTCCGATCCCCCGCCTTCCCGTCGTAGCACTGCACACGTTCAGCGAAGCTTTGTGCCCTACCAAGCTCAACACCGCGTGACTTTGCAACTTCGGAATCCTTTGCCACCTCAAGTTCAGCTAACCT